TCATTCCATTAGTCTCCATAAACGCCTTTGAAGTAAAAAAAAAAAAAACATGTCATTAAGGCAAAAAGTTTTTACTTAAGAAAAAAGGGTGGACAAAATCAAAATCCGAAAAATTTTGAACCTGGGATAGGTAACAGGCTCGATTGACGAACATCTGACGGATTTCCGGCCTCCAAACCGAAAAAGGAGGAAGGGACGTTCCTTCCCTGGTTTGAAAACCTCGGAAGATGTCTCCAATCTCTTCTCCATCTACAAAACAGAGGAGAACAGTAGGTTAATAAGTAGCCGCAATCTGGAACAAGTCTTGTTAAAGGCTTACTTTCTAAAAAAAAACTCACCAGAAATTGAAACGGCTAAAGGGCTTTGAGTCCTAACACTCAGTCCTTGGGACAAGTAAGTCTCGGGCCTCAGCTCATCAGTTTCTTCTGGAATTGCTCTGTCTCCCGAAGAAGGAAGCCCAGAGTCTGAAGATTCAACAAAAGGGAAAACAGAAGGCAGAAAGCTAGGGGCTCGCGGCGGAGAACTTAATCTAATGGTTTTGAGTCTCTCGTTTGATAAAGTGTCCGAGTCTAGAGCCTTCCTCTTTGTGCAAAGAGGAGGAGTTTCTTCTCTCTCTCTCTCTCGTACGGAAGAGCAAATGGCGGTGGCGACTGGGGGGTCGTTAGGGATATCGGCTCCATAAGAATCCACCGCATTTGACAAAGCTGCTTCTAAGGAACCATCATCAACCAAGAGGGTCTTCCTGTGAAAGCTACCAACCTTGGAGATTGCAGCTATACGCTTCTTTTTCCCAATTTCGGATAATTGATCCTTAAGAGCCTTAATCTCAGCATCGATTTTTCTTTTATCTCGAGCATTCAGGCTCGAGACATCTTTCTCTTCAGGAGGAGGGTCAAGAGGGTGAGTTTTACCATCCTTAATAGCGAGCCCCCGCTCCATGAATGCGTTGAAGGGTGAAAGAATTCCAGTTCGTGTCACCCTCGGAAACGATTCGGAAGAAAGATAAGAAGTCAGCAGTTGGACGGGGGATAGTTTGGTTCCCTGAAATAAAACGTTGAGTTGAGAATTCCGTTTCTTTCACAAAATGTAGTAGAAAGATAATAAAGAATAATTCTGACCAAGTTTGGGCGACCAATTTGGAAGAAGAAAACCGGAAAGACCTTGAACGGAATGAGGATTAACTCGGAAAAAGAACAAGTATTTCCTCCAAGGCCCGTCATTCAGGGGCATTCCGTCGATGAGGTTACGGTCAAAAATAGGATTCATGGAAAAAATACCCGCTCCCGCAGAATCACGGGCTCGAAATAGCCCTAAGAGTTCGCTGGTAGTGAGAGAAAACCCTGCCTCCGCCGAGACGGTCAGGGTGCTCAAGACGTACCTAAGGAAGTTGGGGGCCATTTGGGGAAAAACGATCCCTAGATGGAGGAGATACAGAATGAGAACTTCCGGGATAGGAAAAAATAAGCCACAACCCTTGAAATAGACTTCGTACGCGCAACAGAAACCCTCTCGCACCATTTCTGGAGACTCATTTGGTCCAGGAAGAGAGAATTCTATTTCCTGGGGAATGTTACAAAGGCGACGAAGGGCGCCAAGGGAAGCAAGGGTCGATTGAGACCTGAAATGCGGACCGAATCTATCTCCCACTTGGGTAAAAACTTCGTCCCCTCTGAGAACAGGGGATTCCTTGACTATCGTCTTCGTTGTCTGAAACGTAGATGGCCGGGGAAGACATTTTTTACTAGGGGTTTTTTTCTTTCTTTCTCTGGTTTGGTTAAAGCTATCAGGAGTGAATGTACGCTGTAAAAGCCGTCGTTCCATTTAACCCTATTTAGTGGAAATCGCCTCGAAAGTATTGGGAAGTGGGACAGTTTTTCCCGTAGTATTAATATAAAATTAGGAAATTAATGATGACGATTGTCAAGGAAATCAAATCATCTGATTATCCGAGATCGGCGTAACAGCGTAAAACATGGAGAAATTCCAGAATATTAAAGATCTCGAGTCATTAATTACTATTTACTTAAGTCTTCCAAGCCGAGCACTCAGCTCGCAAGACTTGGGGGGCTAAATGTTGGGGTCGGATCCCACACACTTTCGGTAGGATCCACTTGGATCTGTCCACGTCATTATTACACAATAATCCTTTTGGATTTCTAAATACTTTATTGGACTTGACCGGTTGGGAGTTCGATTTAGCTATTAAAAGAGTTCTATCTTTACCAGTACGGAGTTCGCTCATATTCAACATACAGTTCGCGTAGAGAAAGACCGAAGCGAGGAGAATATTGTTCAAGGTTCGCGGTAGCATCAAGGCACGGGAGTTCGGAGTCAGCAAGAAAGAGTTCGGAAGGCCCACGCGAAGCCCAAGACAAGATTCAAATTCAAGCCGTTTCGGTCAAAATCACTACAAGAAAACAAACCATTTGCGACTCCCATAATAGTCGGAAAACAGTCGCAAATCACTTGTTTGCGACTGTTGTCCAACTAATTAAATTGGTCGCTAAAAAACGGTCGCTAAATAAAACAGTCGCAACATAGTCACTTATTTGCGACTACTTTCTTACCGCACTATATAGTCGTAAATAAGCGACTAATTTGGGACTTGTATATGTTGTTGCATATTCCCGACTAAAACGCAACTGAGTTTGATTAGAGACAGCTTTGTGACTAAGATTTGTAAGGTGAAAAAAAAAATAGTAGTCCCAATTTAGTCGCTGTATCTGTTTCTTCCAGTTGCAACTTAGTCGCAATATAGTCTTTCGTTGTTGCGACTAATGTATGACTATTTTCTATAGTCTCGTATTAGCAACCATTCTGCCACCAGTGTATTTTGGTTTAGTCACAAAATGGTCATAACTTTGTGGTTTGTCGAGTACAAATTGGTTTTGCAATCATAAACCTAATTCAATTTCGAATTGAAAAGCAGTAATCAAACAGAAATCAGATTAACAACTGAGTAATCAAATAACCATCCTAATTAAACAAGATAATCCTAGTTTTAACCAAAATATTAGCATCCTAATAAAACAGGTTTCATCAAACTTACAAAAGCAACAATTAAGAGAACAAGTTCATAGGTTAGAAGAAGTGTCTTCTAGGGTGCCTGTTGCGTCTGGGATGGCTGCAGCTGCAGCTGTTGTAGTTGGTAGAGTGCCTGCAGCTGTTGTAGTTGCTTGGATGGGTGGTTGAGGTTGTGTAGAAGAAAAAGACAAAAAAGCTGCCAACTCAGGATCCCTATCTTTCATGAAGACGAGGAGCTTCTCCAAGCTGGAGATCCGAGATTGAGATTGGCGGTGCTCCTCATCACGTCTTGCATTTTCAGCCTCGTGTTCAGATATCTTGCGCCGCAGCTGATCTTGAAGCTCCACAATGGTTGCTGTAGAAGAGCTCGCATAACTCTCTTTCCTTTTTCCTTTGTTCAGTGTCTCCACAAGCGATCCAAGACCATAAGGGGTACCTTTGTCATCTTTATGAGTACACTAAAACAAAATCCAAAGAATCAGTGAACAAGAACAAGAAGGATGTCCAACAAAACGAAATCAATTACCTTAAGAAAGATCTCATTCTTTTCATCAATGCTGAGTATACGGTAAGTGGAATGTTCAGAGGAATTAGTAGAATTCTGAGGACCCTCCTCGTCCAATTCAGACATCCTGTCTTCAATGCCCTTCGCATACGCCTCAGCAACTTCTTTAGCTTTTTGATCCACAAATGATCCATCAGCCCTTGTATGTGTTGCCATAAACACTTCGCCAAGTGATACAGGACGCTTGAGCTCTTCCTCCTACAATTAAACTCAAACAGATTTAAATCATGGAAGCAATATTAGAAAATCAGAGAAATGATTTGTTTGGATGGAAAGAGAACTCTTACCATTTCTTGATGAACTTGCACAAAAGATTTCTGACCGGCTAAGTGTTTGTGCACTCCAAGACCTCCACGATCAGAGTTTCTGCACTATGAAGCATTCTCACTCCTCTCAATAGCATCCTCAGTCTTCCAATACACCCACATCTCAGCCCAAAGTGTATTACGGATCCACGGTGGTTTTACACCACTCTGCCACTACAAGAAATTTGTTCATTGATAGCATAACGTAATAGCACGGATTACTCAACTGCTATTGAAGATTATTTACAAATTTTGTTTTCGTATGATAGCGTTTTATAAATGCTAATAAATAAATTTAATAATATAGCAAGGTTTTAACGCTATGATAGAATTCCTCTAGCCCGGGAAACTAAAATGACTCATACCGCGAAACACTTAAAGAATATTTTTTCTTTTTGCGAACAGACTAATTTTTTCCCTCTTTACTCGAGAAAACCCTAAGGCTTAACCACACTCTCTCAAACCGACGAATCGATTCCTGGAGCCACCGATTGAACTCGCCACCGCCGTCGTTGAAGTTAGCCGCCGTCAAAGCTGTAGCCGCGACAGAAAACCTGATTTCGGCCCTAATTCTCCGATTAAACCATCTCTCTGAGTCCCAAATCGAAGGCATGTCTCTCTGAATCTGTAGATCTATTTCTTCCCTTTCGTTAACCTAGCTAGATTTCTTTTAGCTATCGTGAAGCTCGACAACTGTTTTGTTTCTTAAAGTCTGGATTTAAGGGTTTCTCTGATTCGATTCTTCAAAGTTTTTGTCTTTTGCATGTCCGTGTTCTTTGCTTAATTAGAACTATTTGTTTGTGTGGTTTGATTTAGGCGTAGCTTGATAAATAGGATGCACAATTTTGCTTTCGGAAATCTTAGATTTTTAGATAACTTGTATTGACCTATTCTCGAGATTTAGAAGTTTTTGTTGACATTCTATTACAACTATTTGTATTGACTTGTTCTTATTGTCGGATACAATTGGTTGGTCTTGTAAGTTCTGACTTTTTGTATTGATCTGTTATCTGAATCTTTAGATCTTTTAAGTGCTTTTCTAACACATTCTTGCATTACCAAACACATGAAACTATATATACTCATTCTCTCATTTTGTTTTGCAAGTGTTGCTGTTTGAAGTAATGGGAATCTGAAGGTTATCTTTGGCTCTTATTACACGACAGGTTAGACCATCTTTTCCTTTGTCTTGTACATTACTGTGTTTGCTATGTGATTGGTAATAGATATTTTACTTTGATTAATCGTTTTAAATATGGTTATATGTGTTTGACATATGCTTTGATATGGTCTGAGATTAGTTTATCTGCATAAAATTTGTGTTTGATTTATTAATTAGTCTGAATATTAAGTGATCCTGTGATGTGTGAAGACTCTTTCATTAAATCTGAATAAGTTTTTATATCACATATGCTTTGATCTTGTCTGAGATTGAGTTATATATATTGTTTACATTGAGTTAAAATTTGAGTTTGCTTAATTTGTTAATTAGTCTGAAAAGTAAGTGGTTCTGTGATGTGTTTAGACTATTTCATTAAATCTGACTTAGTTCTTTTATCACATATGCTTTGATCTGATTTGAGTTTGATTTAGTTAAAATCTGAGTTTGATTTATTTGTTAATTAGTCTGAATATTACTGTGTGATGTGTGTAGACTCTTTAATTAAATCTGAATAAGTTCCTATATCAATAAAGGTTTTAATTACGGTTGCATTATAAAATGGTGGACAAGGGTTGGGTGCACCTTTGCAGGTAAGATTTTTTTATATATTAGATTAGGGAATTTGGAGACTTTGCTTGTTTTTTTTTCTTCTTTTTTCTCTTTTAACTCTTCATCTTATATGAAGAGTTGATCCTGCTTATGAGAGAGGGGCTGCAAACTTTGTACGGACTGTGGCTGCGGCAATGGGAGACGTTGATATGATTGTATGTCCTTGCATTGATTGTCGTAATATAGATCGTCACTCAGCCAGTGTTGTAGTTGATCATCTTGTAACAAGGGGAATGGACGAGCCTTACAAGATGCGGTCTGATTGGTATCATCATGGAGAATTGAATCCAGTGGTTGGAGGTGAAAGCAATCAAAATCAGTGGCATGATGAAATTGTTGGGTTATATGAAGCAGCTGAATATTTGGATGAAAAGTTTGCTTCCAAAGTTGAGATTGCAGAGGGTTTGGACAAGGAAGAAGATGAGTTCCTTGCGAAGCTTGCAGATGCTGAAACACCACTATATCCAAGTTGTCTCAACCATAGCAAGCTGTCGGCTATTGTAACACTTTTCAGACTTAAGACAAAGAATGGCTGGTCTGACAAGAGCTTCAATGAACTCCTAGAGACACTTCCGGAGATGTTACCAGCGGGTAATGTGCTGCACACATCACTATACGAGGTGAAGAAATTTTTGAAATCCTTTGATATGGGTTACGAGAAGATCCATGCATGTGTTAATGACTGCTGCCTATTCAGAAAGAATTACAAGAAGCTCGACAGTTGTCCTAAATGCAGCGCTTCAAGATGGAAGACTAACTTGCACACTGGTGAAATAAAGAAAGGTGTCCCACAGAAAGTATTAAGGTACTTTCCGATAATCCCACGCCTTAAGAGAATGTTTAGGTCTGAGGAAATGGCTAAGGATTTAAGGTGGCATTTTAGCAACAAAAGCAGCGATGGAAAACTCTGTCACCCTGTAGATTCAGTAACATGGGATCAGATGAATGCCAAATACCCGTCATTTGCAGCTGAGGAAAGAAACCTGAGGCTTGGACTTTCAACAGATGGATTTAATCCATTCAACATGAAGAACACTAGATATAGTTGCTGGCCCGTTTTGTTGGTTAACTACAATCTGTCTCCTGATTTATGCATGAAGAAGAAGAACATCATGTTGACTTTGCTAATTCCTGGTCCACAACAGCCTGGTAATAACATTGACGTATACCTAGAACCACTTATAGAGGATCTATGCCACCTGTGGGACAATGGGGAGTTGACATATGACGCTTTCAGTAAATCAACATTTACTCTTAAGGCAATGTTGCTTTGGACGATTAGTGATTTCCCTGCTTACGGGAATCTAGCTGGCTGCAAAGTAAAGGGAAAAATGGGATGTCCTCTATGTGGGAAAAATACCGATAGCATGTGGTTGAAGTTCAGCAGAAAACATGTCTACATGTGCCACAGGAAGCGGCTGCCACCAACACATCATTTCAGAATGAAGAAGTCTTGGTTTGATGGAAAAGCTGAAAATGGCAGGAAGAGGAGAATATTAAGTGGTCAGGAAATTTACCAAAACCTGAAAAATTTTAAGAATAACTTTGGGACTTTGAAACAATCTGCAAGTAAAAGGAAAAGGACGGTTTCTGTTGAAGCAGGCTCTGATAGTGATGGTGAGTCTAGTGAATCAGAGGAGGATGAAGAGGACCAAGTAGATGAGGAGGAATTATCAAGATGGAAGAAAAGGTCAATTTTTTTCAAGTTAGCTTATTGGCAGGTGTGTTCTACATTCTTGTTATTCTAGTGTTATCTCAGATTTCTGCAATAAATCATTGACTAATATTTTTTTTGCTTCTTGCGTCTGTGGTGGTTGTATAGGACCTTCCTGTGAGACATAACTTAGATGTCATGCATGTGGAGAGAAATGTGGCTGCAAGTATTATATCGACATTGTTGCATTGTGGGAAATCCAAAGATGGACTAAATGCTCCAAAAGATTTGGAGGTGCTTGGTATTAGAAAGGATTTGCATCCTAAAACCAAAGGAAAAAGAACATACCTTCCTGCAGCTTCTTGGTCCCTATCAAAGACAGAGAAGAAGATCTTTTGTAAGCGGCTTTATGACTTCAAAGGTCCAGATGGGTACTGCTCAGACATATCAAGAGGCGTCTCATTAGATGAGTGTAAGGTCTCTGGTCTTAAATCACACGATTATCACGTCTTAATGCAACAACTTCTGCCTATTGCTCTTAGAGGGTTGCTACCTAAAGGTCCTAGGGTAGCAATTGTGCGCTTATGCACATTCTTCAACCACTTGTGTCAGCGAGTAATTGATATGGAGCAGCTTTTGGCACTAGAAGCTGAGATTGTTGAAACCCTTTGCCTGTTTGAAAGGTTTTTCCCACCAAGTTTCTTTGATATAATGGTGCATTTGACAGTACATTTAGGCAGAGAAGCTCGGTTAGGTGGACCAGTTCATTTCAGATGGATGTATCCGTTTGAAAGATATATGAAAGTTCTGAAGGATTTTATGAGAAACACTGCAAGACCAGAAGGGTGTATAGCTGAGTGTTATCTAGCTGAAGAATGCATACAGTTTTGTAGTGAATTTTTGAAGAAGGCAACAAATGTTCAGGAAAGTGTTGATAGAAATACTGAGTATGAGAACAACTCTATACTTGAGGGGCGTCCAATCTCTGCATGCTCTTATATTAATCTTACTGAAATGGAGACAAAAATAGCCCATATGGCTGTCATCCAGAATATGGCTGTCTCCGAATCTTATGTGGAGTAAGTTCCAGTCTGCTTGTTCATTTTACTTAGCTATATGTAAATTGTGTGGCTGACTACTTCTTATTTTTCCTTTTATTAGTGAGCACCTGCAACATCTTCAAGACTCAAATGGAAGATGCAGACGTGATGCATCACTGTTATGGAGTATGCACACTCAGAATTTTGCATCATGGCTTAAAAAACAGGCAAGTTTATCTCTCACTTGAACACTATACTTTATCAATAAGCATATAGGTGTCTGACATTTTCTTTTTTAATTTGTTAGATACCTCTTGATTCAAACAGACACGAAGAAACACTTAAATGGTTAGCTTATGGTCCACGTAGTTGTGCAAGGACATATACTGGTTATATAGTGAATGGGCAACGATTTCATACAAGATCAGTGGATAAAAAAACTCAGAATAGAGGTGTTTTCTACGAGGCAACTGCAATCTGTAGGTCCAGTGCAAAAGACACTTCCCAAGTGGTGGATTTGGTATCATACTATGGCTGCATAACTGACATTATCTTGCTGGATTATAATGTATTTTACGTTCCATTATTCCGCTGCAACTGGGCAGTAAAAGGCAATGGAGTGAAGCAAGAAGATGGTTTTACACTTGTAAACCTGAATCATAGTCAAGTCTCATTTTTAAGGGATCCGTACATACTAGCCTCTCAAGCAAAACAAGTGTTTTACCTAAGGGAAGATGACTCATCACCTTGGTATGTTGCATTGAGAGGTCCTTCAAGAAGATTCAGTCAGAAAGAGTTTCTAGATTCAGTTGCAGACATTGGCACATTGCCACCAAATGTTGACATCGACGTTGACTTGGATGAAGCTGAGAATGAGAGATCTGATTGTGAAGGGATATATGTTTGTGAAATGTAGTTTTTTTGATCATTTTCATCCCTTGTTGCCTGTTCTATGTCTGATGTATGTCTGATTTCCATAGTGTGTTTGATGTCTTATTTTCAGTATATACTTAACTCTTCTTCTTTCATTTTTCTCAGGTGATTTAAAATGGGACAACATAAGAAAAAGCGATGCAGAAGTAACAAAAAAAAGGAAGCAAAGCATGCCAATGAGGAGGTCGAGTATCTGGGTACAGTTGAACCACAAGTCAATGATGAGGATGAACATGTAGCACCGGCTGAAGTTCAAGTAGCAGATCCAGATCAAATAGAAGAGGCTGAAGTTCAAGTAGCAGATCCAGATCAAGTGGAAGAGGCTGAAGTCCAAGTAGCAGATCCAGATCAAGTGGAAGAGGCTGAAGGAGAGCTTGTATTATCTGAGGGTTATGATTGTGCTGAGCCAAAGCGTAAGAGACATCGAGGACCAACGAGGCTGAAGGATATTGCCAAGGATCCAAATACGAGAGTAAGAGTAGAGTTCACTAACATGGGAGAGCCTATTGGTAAAGGCTCAGTTAAACTGGCATCCTATGTAGGCGCATTGGTAAGAGAACACGTTCCAATCACAATTGATCGTTGGACAAAAATAGGTGAAGAAGTCAGGACAGTTCTCTGGAAATCTGTCCAGGTAAGATTTGTGTAAAATTTACAAGTTTATTAGATATTGGTGTGAGTACTTAACTGTTTTGTTTTTGAGTGCAGGCAAGGTTTGAACTAGATGAAGAGTACCAAAAGGTTACAGTGCTTAAGCAGATGGGATGCTTGTGGAGGTCCTGGAAATCAAGGCAAGTTACAAACATTAGAGAAGCTAAGACTAACCAAGAGAGGATGAACATGCGACCTAAAAATATTTCTCCATTTGATTGGCGTAAATTTGTGAAGCTCAAAACTAGCAAAGAATTTAAGGTATGCATTTGGAATTTGTAAATTTATCTATTATGAGTAGGTTCACTTATCTTTCCTTAGAAATTAACATTCATCTGTTAGGTTGTAAGCGATAGCTACAAGGAAAGAAGGCGCAATCAGATTCCACACACTTGTAGTCGCAGGGAATGGTTAGACTAGCAGAAGATATGGTAATATTGCTACACTTATATTGTTCATTTTGCTCAGCCTTTTTCCAAAGTTCAAACAGTTATGTAATCTTATGTTTCTTTTCTTTTTGTTTAGAAAACTGCTAGTGTAGACCCATCTGAAGTGACACGCCTAAAGGTTTGGGTTAAGTCACGTACTAAGAAAGATGGTACACCAGTGAATACGAATGTTGCTGAAAAGATTGTGAGTTATTTTGCTTCTAATGATTTGCATTTTGGCATTTGAATCACACTTGATATTTTAATATGTATCTTATGAGTATCAGAAAAAGGCAGAGGAGATTGTTAACAGTGATAATCCATCACATGCAACAAATGAAGCACAAGATTCACTAAACCAACTGTTAGGGCTTGACAATCCTGGTAGAATGAGAGCAATGGGTCGCAATATGAATAAGACCAAGTTAGCTTGTTTCCAAGTGAAGCACAAGTGTATGGCTGAAATGCAAGAGAATCAGCTTCATCTCCAGAAGAAGGTCAATGAGCTACAAGATGTAATTGAGAAAATGAAGAACCAGGTTAGTGCACTTAGCTATTTATATCTATGTATATAAAGCAGCTTTATATATATAAGATTTGACTTTTTTTTTTGTTTCTGTAACAGAGACAATCACCTGAAGTAGGTGAAAACTCAGCTGCAAGAGTAAGTCACTCATATCATCTGTTTGATTTATTCTAACAGATACAATCACCTGATATTTTGTCTACCTATTGTTTTTACAGAGTGTGAACAAAAAATCACAACCAAAATGTGTCTTACTTGATTGGGCTGGTTCTGATGTAAAAGTTGCTGAGGGATGTATTATTTCTTCTGATCCGGGTGAATTAGTTAATGATTGTCGCTTAGGCCCTACGGATGTTAAAGTCTTGATTGACACTGCTATTGAACCAGAAGCATTCCTTTGGAGACCTGCGGCTAACATGTTCACCATTGAGAAAGCTGTTGGACATATGATTGCATGGCCTGCTGCTATGTGTGTTAACCTAGAAGAGGATCTCCAACAAGAAGACATTGAAGGCCAGGTAAAGTTTATTATTCATTCTCATACTCATATATATAGAATAATGATCTTCTATTAACACAATGTATTTTTGGGTTTCAATGTTTTTGACAGGGACCAAGACCTAAATCTGTGAACAAATGCAAACTACTGGATTTGTCTTCAAATGAGATTGTTGTTGCAGAAGGACGTTGGCAGACACAAGAACAAAACGCATTAGTCAATGGGCTTCCTCTCGGACCAGCAGCAGTGAAGATATTTGTCGATGCAGTTCTTCAACCAGAGACATTTATATGGAGGCCAACGATGGATGTGACATACTTTGAGGACTGTTTAAAGTCTTATGTAGCATGGCCTGTCCACAAAGTGATCTTTGAAAACCCTACAGATGCAACATGTCAGAAATCTCCACTTCAGACTTCTGCTGCAAGAGGAAAATCACCATTGGAAGCAGCAGCATCAGTAGGAAAATCAGCAGCATCAGAGAAAGCAGCAGCATCAGGGAAAGCAGCAGCATCAGGTTCACAAATTGCAGCAGCATCAGGTTCACAAACTGTAGCAGCAGGTTATAAGCCATCCCCTGAGATATCTACAACAAAAGGTACAAAATCCGTTGCAACAGTTTCAAAAGCTCTAGCTGAGAAGTCCACAGCTACAGGTTCAAAGTCTCCTGTCAAGAAAAGTCAGCTGCTGGATTCACAACTCCCTCTAAGAAGATCTCCGGTATTTTGTTTGTTGTTTTTACCTATTGAATCTGGTTATTTTTCTACATGCATTAAACCTGGTTTATATTGTAACATTGCAGCGTAAAAGTGTAGCTGAAGTTATCAAGGCCAATCAGAAGTGTAAGTTAATGGATATTAGTGGAAAGAAGCAGGTGGTTGCTGAAGGACGTGTGCATTCAATCGACCCAGACCTAAAGGTACACCATGTTCGATTGGGGTCTAATGCAGCTAGAGTTTGGGTGGATGTAGTGAAAATAGATGATGCAGCAGTTTGGAGGCCATCAGATGAAATCGAGTATATGAGAGATTCACTTGGTTCAGCTATTGCATGGCCAATGGATAAGTTGGTCATCTATTGAGTTTAAGAATAAACTGGGGTAAGTTTCGTGATTACTGGGATCCTTGTACTTTCGTTTTATATCTGAAACTGAAATGAGACATTGTTGATTATTGCAGGGAATGAAGACACTTTGGTCCAGGTTAGCTAGTTTAAATTAGATTAAGACTAGACTAATCAACTTGTGTTATGTAATTCGGAATCAGACTTGTTGTCTACTTTGGATTTAGACTTATGTTATGTTGAATGATTTGTATGGATTTTTTCTCTATGTTGGATTGGATTCAGACTTAAATAAAATTTCTATTCAGACTTTTTTTTTTGTCTATGTTGGGTTCTGGGAATGCATATAATAGCAAAAAAAAACAAGTTGTGAAAGATTGTATTACAGCATAATTAAACCGCTTAATTAAACAAACCTTAGCAAATATTCACTGTCATTGTAGACGAATCATATATCATAGCATAAAACGTAATGCTACTAAAATATATTTCGCAGCATGAACTAATTGCTAACATTGAATCACCTATTATGACACGAAATTACAATCATCGTTACTTTTTTAACAAAAAATTAAAGTGCTATATTAAAATTTTACACAGCGTTTAAAGTTTGCTGTTATATCATTAACTATAATAGCGTTTCATATAATGCTATCGTATGAGTGACACCTACTATAGCTGCCAAGAACATAGCGTTTGTGAATTCGCTATCTATAACGTAAGATAGCATATTTTTAGCGCTAACAATGAACAAATTTCTTGTAGTGTGCTTTGCTTGACTGACAATCCCTTTCAACCGTTTCTTGGCTATCACCAAGAATCCTTCTCTAACAAGCTCAGTAATCCCGACATCCCAATTATACTTCCGCTACATAACAAGCAGTTAAGTTAGCAAAGTTACTAAGTCATATATATTAAACAATAACAGAATGTAAGGTATATATGACATTACCGCAAAACTTCTGAAGTATCTCTCTCGAATGGGTATTGGAGTAACCTTCCAACTGAAGTAAGGCCCATCAAACTTCCTCCGGAAGATTCCAGCAATCACTCTAGACAGCTTCCCTTTGTGCCGGTTAAACCTGTAACGAAAGTACATTTCACTTTAGTTAAGCACTAAGACACTGTGAAAAATAACTCCTAATTATATTCATTTCTTGAAATCACAGAATTTATTTGATGCAAATAACCAACAGATACTGAGCAAGAATGAAATATGTTTGATTAACAGCAGAATCAACTATGACAAGTCTCTAAACTTCAAGTTGAATTACCAAACAAAGCTTTAGTCATAAATGAACAAGAACCATGAGTTTATTAATGAACAATAACTTGGTCCAACACAGAGATAACATAGATTCTCAAAACAAACACGGAAAACAAACCAAAATGTTTAACAAACACTAAGCTTTCTACTACAGGACATGACTACATGATTTGCAAATGCTTTTAAAAAAACACAGATGCTCACAAACAATCACAAAATCAGATGATCAATCAAAAACACAGATGCTCACAAAACAATCACAAAATCACAAGGAGAAAAGGAAAGAGATTACCAGAGAGTCTCAACTCCAGGGATCGGGTTCTGAGACAAAAGTGGAAGATGTTGTCGGCCTGGAAGGGCTAGCAAACGATCCAACATTTCTTGGTAGTCGACATTTTGATCTCCATTTTGTTCTTCAGGCACTTCGTCTACTTCTTCCTCATAATCGTCTACTTCTTCCTCATAATCGTCTTCATCATTAAGGTTTAGCTCTGGTGGTATGACCTGTTGCTCCTCTGGATCCTGACGAGGAGGAGGCTGTGGTTGACGCGGAGGAGGCTGCTGTTGACGAGAAGAAGAAGGCTGATATTGACGAGGAGGCGACTGCTGTTGACGAGAAGATGAAGGCTGTTGTTGACGCCCAGGAGGTTGTTTTCGACGAGCAGGAGGTGGTTGTTGAAAGCCAGCCGGCGGTGGTTGTTGAGAGCCAGCCCGTGGTGTTTGTTGAGAGCCACCCGGCGCTGTTTGTTGAGACCCACCCGACGGTGCTTGTTGAGAGACAGCAGGTGATGTTCGAAGAGCAGGAGTCGAGCGTACTTGTGTCGCCGGCGGATATTGGGAAGGACGACTTACAGACTGTGTCGCCGAACTTGGGTTCGACGAGTGAGAAGAGGTTCCGACGCCACTGGGATGAGTTTAGGATTCTGACCATGGTAGACTCTGGCACCACGGTTATTTGTCGATTTGCCTCCGCGACCTCTCGCTGACTTGCCTTTGGTAGGAGCCATTAGAAACAATCAATAGAGAAAGAAACGAAAGAGGGATTCAAAAGAGAAAGAACCGGATTAGGGATTCGAAAGAGAAAGAGACGAAATAGGGATTTGAAAGAGAAAGAATCGGATTAGGGATTCGAATGAGAATGAAGCGAAAGAGAAGAAGAGAAGGAATCGATTCAGGGAGAGAGAGATTGAAACCCTAGATCGAGAGAGAAGAAGAAGAATCGCAGAGTTGGAGTGAAGAAACCCTAGATCGAGAGAGAAAGAAGATCGAGAGAGAATGAAGAAAGTGAAAAGTCGAGTGTGTATTTTGCCTAGTAATTAACGAAAAGGAGTCGCTCTTTAGTCGCAAAACAATCGCAACATCAATTATTTGGGGGGAAAATTAAGCGCCCAAATACTTAGGGAAAATTTCATAAGATTTAACAAAAGTTGCAAAACAGTTGCAATATTCGTCGGAAAATGGTCACAAAACTTGTCGTAATTTAGTCACAATAAAGGTACAGGTCGCGATAATGTCACACAATAGTCGCAAACTGTGACTAAGTTGAGACAGACAATAAAACGTCACAACACAAAAAATTCAAAATCTATGGATTTGATTCACTCTATTGATAGAAATCACTCATAAACACTCACTTTAGTAGCATAGAATACATGTATAAGTGTTAGGTTGGTCAAACCTGGCTTTCTCAACATATTTTATAAATTTTACAAAATTCCCTATCATGTTCATAAAGTAACATGATGAGTTCATATGGATTTAGAACTTTTGAATGTTTGGATTGTAAACATTGAATTTCAAGAGGTTGGTTGAGTCTTTTTTTACTAACTTCAATAAAATCAAAGTAGTAACATATAAGAAAACATGTAAACAAACTTCAATTTACAAATTTCGAATTGAAAATATCGAGAGTTGGTAATCTGTAGCAAAATAGTCGCTAATCTCAGGTGCTAGACGCAAAAGGGTCACAAAATAGTTAGCAAAATTTCTTAAAATATAACAAACATCGCAAAAGTCGCAAAATCGTTGCAATATTCGTCGCCAAATAGTCACAAAACATGTCGTAATTTAGTCACAATATATGTACAGTCGCGAAAATGTCACAAACTAGTCGCACAATGTGACTAAGTTGAGACAGATAATGAGTAGTCACTATAGAAAAATATAAAAGTTTTGGATTTGATTCACTATACTGATAAAAATCACTAATAAACACTCACTTTAGTAGCATAGAGTACATATATAAGTGTTAGGTTGATCAAACCTGGCCTTCTTAACTTATTTTATAAATTTTACAAAATTCCCTATTATGTTCATAAAAAGACATGCTAAGTTCATATGGATTTGGAACTTTTGAATGTATGGATTGTAAACATTGAAATTCAAGAGGTTGGTTAAGTCTATTCTAACTAACTTCAATAAAATCAAAGTAGTAACATATAAGAAAACATGTAAACAAACCTCAATTTACAAATTTCGAATTGAAAATATCGAGCGTTGGTAAAATGTAGCAAAATAGTCACTAATCTCAGGTGCTAGACGCGAAAGGGTCACAACATCAGTCGTACAATTGTGATATATTATCTTTTTTTAGTCGCTAAGTCTCAGGTGTTAGAAGCAAAAGGGTGGCAAACGTGTGACTGTTTTGTGACTGTTTGTGGATCAGCTAAGCACAATGCCAGGTTCCACAAGAAGCAAAATCAATCTCAGGTTTGTTATTGTAAACTATGATTCTTATGTGTTTCTGAATCTTGTTTATTGTGATTGTGATTTTGATTCTTATGTTTATTGTAGACTGCTCAAGTTGATCCTTCGCAAGGATGTATCACTCAAGAAAATTAAAGATTGAAGCAGAAGTAGGAGTAGAGAATGAAAGAAAGGAGAAGCACAAGTAGTGACTGGTTTGTTTTTGTACGTATGGTCACTAATGTGTTGTGAACCTTATCAATCGGGTTATGTAGCTTTTCTTTCTTGTTAAGACTTATGTTTTAAAAACCAATCCAATCTCAGGTTTCTTTCTTAATGAAAACCTAGTCTTTTGGTTTCGTTTTATGTTTCTGTCATATGGTATTGGTATTGGTATTGATCCGTGTAGCAAAAACAAATTACAAAACAACACAACATAACACAACACGAGACAATATAAGTCAGAAATCCATTACAACAGTACATTAGAGACCAAAGACATCCAAAATGATAGAAAACAAACATACAACAATGACTCAAAACAAGCAATGACAACAATGACTCAAATCTGAGTCAAACAGAGAACAATGACTCAACCTAGTAGCTTAATGAGACCTACCATGATCAAACAACCAAAAACTAAAAAAATCATCATCTTATTCATCGTGGATTTGAACTCAGACATTTTTTCCAACATAGCATCTTCCACTCTCTCAAAAATCTCTTTCTCAAGCTCCTTCTGCATTTTCTCGAAAATCATCTTGTCGTGCTTCATTGAATCTGTTATGATCTCTTTGATGTCTTCTTGCAGTCTCTTAGTTTGTCCAAACAATGTCGATACCTCATCACACAATGCCTCATCAACCCACTTAAATGTGTGGTTATCATTCATAAGCTACAATGACAATGACAAGTATAAGTACAATGAGAATCTAAAATAAACATCAGACATCAAAGTTCAACGGAAGGGTATTACCCTATTTGCTGCAGCATAACCACAACGAAAGTATCGGCGGCATGGATTTGGGTCGGATTTTGAAATTTTTTGCACGATTTGTTCTCCACACCAACATTTCTTGGGCACGCCTTTCACTCTTTCTCGGACATTTGATGATCCACTTGAAGCTCCAGAGATATTGCTCATGATAAGAGAGGTCGATTTCAGTGAATGATGATTTTAGGGTTCTTTGATTTTCGATTTGGGGATTTTGGAGAAGCAGAACGCGGGTCGGGTTTTAGACATTGGTCGGCTTTCAAAATTGGTTTAAAATTGAGAATTACTGGTTTTCTAGCGGTTTGGTTTGTAAACCGAGAAAACGATGCTTTAGGGGGATTTAGACTACATATTAGGTCGCTAAGTGGTCTCATAGTGCGACGTTTTTGCGACCAAATAAATAGAATGGCAAAACGGTCGGATATGAGTCGCTAAATTGAGACTGTTTTCCGACTAGGTTTTTGCGTCGCTAATTAGCGACTATTTTCCATCTACTTGGATTGTAGTCGTTTAAGAGTCGCATATCAATTACAAAATAGTCGCTCTTTTTTGCGACCAAATAAATAGTCACAACAAGGAGTCCCAAATTGCAGGTTTTCTTGTAGTATATATATATAATTAATGTAACTTATGTGATTAATGCGGATCAATATGATTACGAGTAGTAAATAGCCGCATTAATCATGTTTTTCTCTATAAAAACAACCTCAAACGCATGTGTTTGGGGAAGAACAATCTTTTTACCTCTTACGATCAAGCAATAAAACATACTTTTTCTCTTACAATTTCGCAAAGCTCTTTACTATTTTGTTCTTATCAAGTTCTTTCGCTTTATTTAGTTTCTTGGTTACTTTCCTGTTCAAATTCTTATTTTCATCCTTTGATTTTAGAGTTTTTCTCCACAAAAATACTTAAACACAATCGAGTGTGAATCCTACATCCACATTGCGGTTCTAGTTCTTATACCCAATCATACACACGTTTTCTAGTCATATTTGACTCCAAAAACACTAACCAAGCTTTTTAATGCCTCTCAAAGCTTTGTGGGTGTGGCCGAAGTCCTATGAGTTTTTGGTTTTGGAGCTTCTAAACAGAAAAACACTACTTTAGCTTACGGGATCCGGTTGCTGTTCTAGTTCATATACCCAATCATACTCACGTTTTCTAGTCATATTTGACTCCAAAAACACTAACCAAGCTTCTTAATGCCTCTCAAAGCTTTGTGGGTGTGGCCGAAGTCCTATGAGTTTTTGGTTTTGGAGCATCTAAACTGAAAAACACTACTTTAGCTTACGGGATACGGTTGCGGTTCTAGTCCTTATACCCTATCATACAAACGTTATCTAATCATATTTGACTCCAAAAACACTAACCAAGCTTCTTATTGCCTCTCAAAGCTTTGTGGGTATGGCCGAAGTCCTATGAGTTTTCGGTTTTGGAGCTTCTAAACGGAAAAACACTACTTTAGCTTACGGGATCCGGTTGCTGTTCTAGTTCATAACCCAATCATACACACGTTTCTAGTCATATTTGACTCCAAAAACACTAACCAAGCTTCTTAATGCCTCTCAGAGCTTTGTGGGTATGGCCGATGTCCTATGAGTTTTTGGTTTTGGAGCATCTAAACGGAAAAACACTACTTTAGCTTACGGGATCCGGTTGCGGTTCTAGTCCTTATACCCTATCATACACACGAGATCTAGTCATATTTGACTCCAAAAACCCTAACCAAGCTTCTTAATTCCTCTCAAAGCTTTGTGGGTGTGGCCGAAGTCCTATGAGTTTTTGGTTTTGGAGCCTCTAAACGCAAAAACACTACTTTAGCTTACGGGATCCGGTTGCGGTTCTAGTTCTTATACCCTATCATACACATGAGATCTAGTCATATTTGACTCCAAAAACACTAACCAAGCTTCTTAACGCCTCTCAAAGCTTTGTGGGTGTGGCCGAAGTCCTATGAGTTTTTGGTTTCGGAGCTTCTAAACGGAAAAACACTACTTTAGCTTACGGGATCTGGTTGCGGTTCTAGTTCTTATACCCAATCATACAAACGTTATCTAGTCATATTTCACTCCAAAAACACTAACCAAGCTTCTTATTGCCTCTCAAAGCTTTGTGGGTATGGCCGAAGTCCTATGAGTTTTCGGTTTTGTAGTTTCTAAACGGAAAAACACTACTTTAGCTTACGGGATCCCACTACAAAAAAAATTGAATATTCTTACGAAAAAATTGTGACCATTTTTTCCGTCAGAACATTGTGACCATTTACATACTAAATTGTGACGTATATATTTCGTCATAAAAATGTTACAATTTCGTTATAAAATTGTGACTGAATTGAAAGTAACCAATTTTTGTCACTAATTATGTCGAATTTGTTACAAAATATATAGTCACAAATATAAGTACGGATTTGCGACCAAATATGGTAACTAAATTATACGATTTTTGTGACTAAATTTACGTCACGTCTAGTTACAAGCGTTTTGTAACTACCCTGTCACAATTTGTCACTATTTTTATGACTTTTGCGTTTGGTCATAGATTGTGGCATATAATTGTTACCATTTTTGTAACAAGAACAAAAACGTGTGAACCAAAAGTTAAACCGAATTGCTGGTTCGTCTGAACCTTCTCATTGGAATAAACATTCTCAAGGACCAAACAACACTTAACTTACCAAGACAACACTGAGGGACTCAGTGACAATCTTAACCGCTTCATCAAAAAAACACTTAACTTACCATGACGACACCTGTTCTTTTCACACTAGCTGAATCAGACAACCTTCACCGCTTCATCACCATGACTCATCCAAACCATTTGCTTCTCTCCACCAATCTCCGACCCAAAAATCTCAGATTTGCCCTTCACTTCAATCTCCATCTTCCAATACTCTTTACTCTCTCCTTCCGCAACAACACCTCTAAGCTTTTGCACAATCAATTGCAAACCATAACAAATCCCCAAAAAATGAACACCGTTCGTCCCAATTCAGGAAAAAGGGGAAGACTTTGAAGTTATTAACTCTTGTATCGATACGAAGAAGAATATGGATATTAATGATTCGGGTCGGGATAAACAACACATACTATATGATGAGTCACTTGAGGTAAGGTTTCATATTCTATGCTTCTTTCCTTACATGTTTTCACATTAATCTTTCATGATTAAATGATCCATTCCACTATTAGGTGGCCCAAGATCTGCAGAGGAGTGATGCTCCATTATACAGGCTTGAAGCTATTGACTTTGATGCTCCATTAATGGCAGTCGAGAAGGAACTTGAAAAAACTGAGAGTGCTCCGCTGCCCAATGCTGTGTTTGATGAAAGCTATAATTTCCTTATATACGCCACTCTTCTTGGAATAAAAGTAAGGGATCCACTTAGTATTGTTTTCGGTTTAAATTACCATAGACTAGCATATCAGTCTAGACATGATAAGTATCCTGTCTCACATGCACATGATACAATTAATGAGCTTAAAGACGTGGGCCTTTCACCACTGGCTAGCCTTTACTTAGGTGATAAAGTAACCAAGATTTAATCTAGTGTATGTAGAGGAAAGAAGCTTAGGATTCTTTCATTAGTTAAGTCTTTTGTATGTATGTTGATACAGGTGACCAGAGGAATGCGATTTGTGGGTGGCTAAAGTGCAGGAGTATTGCACTCATATGTGGAAACTGCCGTATGCATCATTGTGAGTGAGCCAACATTGGTCCAATAATTGTTTAGATATTAAGAAATTATTTAGATATTCTTAGTTATTTCTACGTAAATATATGCAAATAAGTCTAGTAGATATTTCTACTAGAATATTCTAGATCCTTAAAAGATTTTTTTATACCATTAGCGCCTTAACTTTCCCAAAAATAGCTAAAATTTTCATTAACCGCTTTAATTTTTGCCAAAATTTTACCCACTCAATAAGAATCCCTAAGACTGCGTCAAAACTATTTAACCATCTCCCTCTACTTCTCAAAATCAGTTTCTACGCCACATCCCTTTTATCAACAAGCGACTAGTTTGTCTTTCATTTCAGAGGTAATTATTTCAACATAATTCTGGATTTTTAAAAACTGCTACACTCTGCTCTCCATTGATTTTTTTGAATCTCTGTGGCTTGTGTCTCCATTGATCTTTTTGAATCTCTGTGGCTTGTCTCTCCATTGGTCTTTCAAATCTCTCTGTGGTTTGTCTGGATTTTTAAAACTTACATTTGTTAGTCATTTTATATACACTTCGTGATAACTTCTGAATTTTTATGTGTTTATAGTGCACATATGGAAGAGCCATTTGTGGATCGTTCAAGTTTACCCATGCTGCATCCTTCTCGGTTAAATGGAGCTCAATGGTTAGTTTGGATTTTTTCTTGAATACTACATAATATTTTTGCAGAGTTTTAACTCATTAACTAATTTATTTCAATGGAACAGGTTTAAACACCACCCTCAAGTATCAACTGGTGTAAGAAAGACCATTCAAAGTTGTTTTAATGGACCATGGTACTCTTGGAAAAGAGTGCCGCCATTCTACAAACGATCATGGTTTTCTCTGTTTAAGGTATTCTCTGTGTTATATTTCATGAGACTATTTTCATAAATAATTTCTGTGTTACTCATCATCTGTGATATACTTTGTTTTTTCAGAAAAGGTTTAACTGGGATGCTTCCATCAACTATCAAGTTGAAAGAGAGTTTAATAAGCTTGCTGCCTATCGCCTCAAAGGAATGATAAGCCATGCAAAGAATGGAGGAAAAAAACCAGAATGGATTTTATCTGAATATTGGACCATTATGCAAGCGCATTGGGCAACCGAAAAAGCGAAAGCAACTAGTGAAAAGGCACGTGCTTCTCGAATGTCTGATCGTAATGGTTTAGGCCCACATTCCCATCGTGCGGGTTCTCGCTCGTTTGTCAGAGTTAAAGATGTTCTGGTAATTATATTTTTCTTTTATTGTTAATTTCAAATCGTGATGATTTTTCTTTGTTTCACTTTGGTTTATTTTTTCTTTTATAGGAAGAAAACAATGAAGACTGCTCTTTTATTGCTGTGATGAAGAAAACACATCAGAAGCCTGATGGAACGTACGATGATCAACGAGCACGATTGGTTGCAGAAACTTATGAAAAGCAGATACAAGAACGCTTGGGTCAACTTGAATCTTCTGGGGAAGATAATCTGACAGCTGAAACTCTTGATGAACATGAGAAAAATGAAATTTATATCAAGGTAATAGTTCTAAACATTAGGCTGGTTTTACATTCACTTTAGGTTGGTTAGTCTCTGGTTTTACATTTTGGTTAGTCTCTGGTTTTACATTCATTCTAGGTTGGTTAGTCTCTGATTTTACATTCATTTGTTCTTGTGATATGTGTAGACTGTCATTTCATATATCTTGTAAATTAAATCAAAAGTTGGGTTCAGTGTATACCAAAAGTACATGGCTCAGGCGTACGGAGGTGCACTTGTGCCTATAATATTGGCTGTACATTCTAATATGAAAGTATATGCCATATCAACACGAGACCTCTTTAATATCAACAGAAGTTAGTAGACTATCATTTGCTAATAATTTTAATCTTTCTTTCTAGGCTGCTGGATCATCTAAACATGGCCATATATTTGGACTTGGAGCACTAATTGAGGCTCTACCATCTGTTGGTGCTTCTTCAAGTGCACCACAAACTTCTGAAGAGGTGGAGACGATAACGCATCGGCTACAAGAGATGGAAACTGATCTTAAGAAGAGCCTTGAAGAGAATCTGCAAACTCAGAAAAGACTTGAAGCTATGGAAAAACTTGTTGAGTCTCTTGCACGTCAAAATGTCTAGATCCGAATCCACCACCAAGACCTTCCAGCTAATCTAGTTATGTATATATTCTGGTTTCTATTAGCCTAAGTATCGTTTAGTTTGCATTTTCTTTAAGTTGTGTTACTTTGTTTGGATGCTAGTCTTTTAAGTTGTGTTTACTTTGTTTGTTTGGATGTTAGTCTTTAAGTTGTGTTTACTTTGTTTGTTTGGATGTTAGTCTATTGTCTTTAAAATTTCTATAAATCTTGTTCGTTTGCTATTGTTTTTTCTTTTTTGCTGTCAGAAAATTAATTTAATTTAAAAAAAAAAAAATCGTGACTGCAAATCGTAAAAAAGAATAATACGTTTGTGACTAATTCTACGTCTCATATGTTTGGGAATCATATGATTGTGACTAAGTCTACGTGTTGTTTACATTCCTATTTTGTAACAAATTGATACGAGTTTAGTAAGAAAAAAGGTCACAACCGAAACACAAATTGTGACGTTTGTGTGACTATAATCGAGTCACTAATTGTGTCGGATTTGTGATAATATGTTGGTCGCAAAAGGTAACGTTTGTGTGACTATAATCGAGTCACTAATTGTGTCGGATTTGTGATAATATGTTGGTCGCAAAATGTAACGGATCTGTGACTTAAATATGGTAATAATTTGTGACACTTATGTTACGATTATATTGTCACTAGTTGTGGCTTATTTGTGACAGTATCGTCCGTCACGAACTGTGTCTTTTTTGTGACTAAATGAATGTCGTCACAATCAGTGACGAATTGTTACCGTTGTTAATCGTCACATTTATTTGTGACCTTTTTGAGACATACATGGATTTGTGACGATTTTATTGTGACATTCTAGAATTGGTGTTAGTTTCGTCACAATAGAATTATTGTGACCGAATCTTTATATATTGTGACGACAATAATCGTAACAATATTCACTTTTTATTGTAGTGTCCAGTTGCGGTTCTAGTTCTTATACCCAATCATACACACGTTTTCTAGTCATATTTGACTCCAAAAGCACTAACCAAGCTTCTTATTGCCTCTCAAAGCTTTGTGGGTATGGCCAAAGTCCTATGAGTTTTCGGTATTGGAGTTTCTAAACGGAAAAACACTACTTTAGCTTACGCGATCCAGTTGCGGTTCTAGTTCTTATACCCAATCATACACACGTTTTCTAGTCATATTTGACTCCAAAAACACTAACCAAGCTTCTTATTGCCTCTCAAAGCTTTGTGGGTATGGCCGAAGTCCTATGAGTTTTCGGTTTTGGAGCTTCTAAACGGAAAAACACTACTTTAGCTTACGGGATCCGGTTGCTGTTCTAGTTCTTATACCCAATCATACACACGTTTCTAGTCATATTTGACTCCAAAAACACTAACCAAGCTTCTTAATGCCTCTCAAAGCTTTGTGGGTATGGCCGATGTCCTATGAGTTTTTGGTTTTGGAGCATCTAAACGGAAAAAACACTAATTTAGCTTACGGGATCCGGTTGCGGTTCTAGTCCTTATACCCTATCATACACACGAGATCTAGTCATATTTGACTCCAAAAACATTAACCAAGATTCTTAACGCCTCTCAAAGCTTTGTGGGTGTGGCCGAAGTCCTATGAGTTTTTGGTTTTGGAGCTTCTAAACGGAAAAACACTACTTTGGCTTACGGGATCCGGTTGCGGTTCTAGTTCTTATACCCAATCATACAAACGTTATCTAGTCATATTTGACTCCAAAAAAACTAACCAAGCTTCTTATTGCCTCTCAAAGCTTTGTGGGTATGGCCGAAGTCCTATGAGTTTTTCGGTTTTGGAGTTTCTAAACAGAAAAACACTACTTTAGCTTACGGGATCCAGTTGCGGTTCTAGTTCTTATACCCAATCATACACATGTTTTCTAGTCATATTTGACTCCAAAAACACTAACCAAGCTTATTCATGCCTCTCAAAGCTTTGTGGGTGTGGCCGAAGTCCTATGAGTTTTTGGTTTTGGAGCATCTAAACGGAAAAACACTACTTTAGCTTACAGGATCCGGTTGCGGTTCTAGTCCTTATACCCTATCATACACACGAGATCTAGTCATATTTGACTCCAAAAACACTTAATCAAGCTTCTTAACGCCTCTCAAAGCTTTGTGGGTGTGGCCGAAGTCCTATGAGTTTTTGGTTTTGGAGCTTCTAAACGAAAAACACTACTTTGGCTTACGGGATCCGGTTGCGGTTCTAGTTCTTATACCCAATCATACAAACGTTATCTAGTCATATTTGACTCCAAAAACACTAACCAAGCTTCTTATTGCCTCTCAAAGCTTTGTAGGTATGGCCGAAGTCCTATGAGTTTTTCGGTTTTGGAGTTTCTAAACGGAAAAACACTACTTTAGCTTACGGGATCCAGTTGCGGTTCTAGTTGTTATACCCAATCATACACATGTTTTCTAGTCATATTTGACTCCAAAAACACTAACCAAGCTTATTAATGCCTCTCAAAGCTTTCTGGGTGTGGCCGAAGTCCTATGAGTTTTTGGTTTTGGAGCCTCTAAACGAAAAACACTACTTTAGCTTACGGGATCCGGTTGCGGTTCTAGTTCTTATACCCAATCATAAAAACGTTATCTAGTCATATTTGAATCCAAAAACACTAACCAAACTTCTTATTGCCTCTCATAGCTTTGTGGGTATGGCCGAAGTCCTATGAGATTTCGGTTTTGGAGCTTCTAAACGGAAAAACACTACTTTAGCTTACGGGATCCGGTTGCGGTTCTAGTTCTTATACCCTATCATACACACGAGATCTAGTCATATTTGACTCCAATAACACTAACCAAGCTTCGTAACGCCTCTCAAAGCTTTGTGGGTGTGGCCGAAGTCCTATGAGTTTTTGGTTTTGGAGCATCTAAACGGAAAAACACTACTTTAGCTTACGGGATCCGGTTGCGGTTCTAGTCCTTATACCCTATCATACAACGTTATCAAGTCATATTTGACTCCAAAAACACTAACCAAGCTTCTTATTGCCTCTCAAAGCTTTGTGGGTATGTCCGAAGTCCTAAGAGTTTTCGGTTTTGGAGCTTCTAAACGGAAAAACACTACTTTAGCTTACGGGATCCGGTTGCTGTTCTAGTTCTTATACCCAATCATACACACGTTTTCTAGTCATATTTGACTCCAAAAACACTAACCAAGCTTCTTAATGCCTCTCAAAGCTTTGTGGGTGTGGCCGAAGTCCTATGAGTTTTTGGTTTTGGAGCATCTAAACAGAAAAACACTACTTTAGCTTACGGGATCCGGTTGCGGTTCTAGTCCTTATACCCTATCATACACACGAGATCTAGTCATATTTGACTCCAAAAACACTAACCAAGCTTCTTAACGCCTCTCAAAGCTTTGTGGGTGTGGCCGAAGTCCTATGAGTTTTTTGTTTTGGAGCTTCTAAACGGAAAAACACTACTTTAGCTTACGGGATCCGGTTGCGGTTCTAGTTCTTATACCCAATCATACAAACGTTATCTAGTCATATTTGACTCCAAAAACACTAACCAAGCTTCTTATGCCTCTCAAAGCTTTGTGGGTGTGGCCGAAGTCCTATGAGTTTTTGGTTTTGGAGCATCTAAACGGAAAAACACTACTTTAGCTTACAGGGATCCGGTTGCGGTTCTAGTTCTTATACCCTATCATACACACGAGATCTAGTCATATTTGACTCCAAAAACACTAACCAAGCTTCTTAACGCCTCTCAAAGCTTTGTGGGTATGGCCGAAGTCCTATGAGTTTTTGGTTTTAGAGCTTCTAAACGGAAAAACACTACTTTAGCTTACAGGATCCGGTTGCGGTTCTAGTCCTTATACCCTATCATACACACGAGATCTAGTCATATTTGACTCCAAAAACATTAATCAAGCTTCTTAACGCCTCTCAAAGCTTTGTGGGTGTGGCCGAAGTCCTATGAGTTTTTGGTTTTGGAGCTTCTAAACGGAAAAACACTACTTTAGCTTACGGGATCCGGTTGCGGTTCTAGTTCTTATACCCAATCATACAAACGTTATCTAGTCATATTTGACTCCAAAAACACTAACCAAGCTTCTTATTGCCTCTCAAAGCTTTGTGGGTATGGCCGAAGTCCTATGAGTTTTCGGTTTTGGAGTTTCTAAACGGAAAAACACTACTTTAGCTTACGGATCCAGTTGCGGTTCTAGTTCTTATACCCAATCATACACACGTTTTCTAGTCATATTTGACTCCAAAAGACACTAACCAAGCTTCTTATTGCCTCTCAAAGCTTTGTGGGTATGGCCGAAGTCCTATGAGTTTTCGGTTTTGGAGTTTCTAAACGGAAAAACACTACTTTAGCTTACGGGATCCAGTTGCGGTTCTAGTTCTTATACCCAATCATACACACGTTTATCTAGTCATATTTGACTCCAAAAACACTAACCAAGCTTCTTATTGCCTCTCAAAGCTTTGTGGGTATGGCCGAAGTCCTATGAGTTTTCGGTTTTGGAGCTTCTAAACGGAAAAACACTACTTTAGCTTACGGGATCCGGTTGCGGTTCTAGTTCTTATACCCAATCATACACACGTTTCTAGTCATATTTGACTCCAAAAACACTAACCAAGCTTCTTAATGCCTCTCAAAGCTTTGTGGGTGTGGCCGAAGTCCTATGAGTTTTTGGTTTTGGAGCATCTAAACGGAAAAACACTACTTTAGCTTACGGGATCCGGTTGCGGTTCTAGTTCTTATACCCAATCATACACACGTTATCTAGTCATATTTGACTCCAAAAACACTAACCAAGCTTCTTAATGCCTCTCAAAGCTTTGTGGGTGTGGCCGAAGTCCTATGAGTTTTTGGTTTTGGAGCATCTAAACGGAAAAACACTACTTTAGCTTACGGGATCCGGTTGCGGTTCTAGTTCTTATACCCTATCATACAAACGTTATCTAGTCATATTTGACTCCAAAAACACTAACCAAGCTTCTTATTGCCTCTCAAAGCTTTGTGGGTATGGCCGAAGTCCTATGAGTTTTTGGTTTTGGAGCTTCTAAACGGAAAAACACTACTTTAGCTTACGGGATCCGGTTGCTGTTCTAGTTCTTATACCCAATCATACACACGTTTCTAGTCATATTTGACTCCAAAAACACTAACCAAGCTT